TTAATCGAACTACGAAGACGTTTTCGAGCTAATAAAAATATTTTTAATCGAACTACGAAGACGTTTTCAGGCTGATAAAAATATTTTTAATCGAACTACGAAGACGTTTTCGAGCTAATAAAAATATTTTTAATCGAACTACGAAGACGTTTTCGAGCTAATAAAAATATTTTTAATCGAACTACGAAGACGTTTTCAGGCTGATAAAAATATTTTTAATCGAACTACGAAGACGTTTTCAGGCTGATAAAAATATTTTTAATCGAACTACGAAGACGTTTTCAGGCTAATAAAAATATTTTTAATCGAACTACGAAGACGTTTTCGAGCTAATAAAAATATTTTTAATCGAATTACGAAGACGTTCTCGAGCTAATAAAAATATTTTTAATCGAACTACGAAGACGTTTTCGAGCTAATAAAAATATTTTTAATCAAACTACGAAGACGTTTTCGAGCTAATAAAAATATTTTTAATCGAACTACGAAGACGTTTTCAGGCTGATAAAAATATTTTTAATCGAACTACGAAGACGTTTTCAGGCTGATAAAAATATTTTTAATCGAACTACGAAGACGTTTTCAGGCTGATAAAAATATTTTTAATCGAACTACGAAGACGTTTTCAGGCTAATAAAAATATTTTTAATCGAACTACGAAGACGTTTTCGAGCTAATAAAAATATTTTTAATCGAACTACGAAGACGTTTTCAGGCTGATAAAAATATTTTTAATCGAACTACGAAGACGTTTTCAGGCTGATAAAAATATTTTTAATCGAACTACGAAGACGTTTTCAGGCTGATAAAAATATTTTTAATCGAACTACGAAAACGTTTTCAGGCTAATAAAAATATTTTTAATCGAACTACGAAGACGTTCTCGAGCTAACAAAAATATTTTTAATCGAACTACGAAGAGGTTTTCGAGCTAATAAAAATATTTTTAATCGAACTACGAAGACGTTTTCGAGCTAATAAAAATATTTTTAATCGAACTACGAAGACGTTTTCGAGCTAATAAAAACATTTTTAATCGAACTACGAAGACGTTTTCGAGCTAATAAAAATATTTTTAATCGAACTACGAAGACGTTTTCGAGCTGATAAAAATATTTTTAATCGAACTACGAAGACGTTTTCAGGCTGATAAAAATATTTTTAATCGAACTACGAAGACGTTTTCGAGCTAATAAAAATATTTTTAATCGAACTACGAAGACGTTTTCAGGCTGATAAAAATATTTTTAATCGAACTACGAAGACGTTTTCGAGCTAATAAAAATATTTTTAATCGAACTACGAAGACGTTTTCAGGCTGATAAAAATATTTTTAATCGAACTACGAAGACGTTTTCAGGCTAATAAAAATATTTTTAATCGAACTACGAAGACGTTTTCGAGCTAATAAAAATATTTTTAATCAAACTACGAAGACGTTTTCGAGCTAATAAAAATATTTTTAATCAAACTACGAAGACGTTTTCGAGCTAATAAAAATATTTTTAATCGAACTACGAAGACGTTTTCGAGCTAATAAAAATATTTTTAATCAAACTACGAAGACGTTTTCGAGCTAATAAAAATATTTTTAATCGAACTACGAAGACGTTTTCGAGCTAATAAAAATATTTTTAATCGAACTACGAAGACGTTTTCGAGCTAATAAAAACATGTTTAATCGAACTACGAAGACGTTTTCGAGCTAATAAAAATATTTTTAATCGAATTACGAAGACGTTCTCGAGCTAATAAAAATATTTTTAATCGAACTACGAAGACGTTTTCGAGCTAATAAAAATATTTTTAATCAAACTACGAAGACGTTTTCGAGCTAATAAAAATATTTTTAATCGAACTACGAAGACGTTTTCAGGCTGATAAAAATATTTTTAATCGAACTACGAAGACGTTTTCAGGCTGATAAAAATATTTTTAATCGAACTACGAAGACGTTTTCAGGCTGATAAAAATATTTTTAATCGAACTACGAAGACGTTTTCAGGCTAATAAAAATATTTTTAATCGAACTACGAAGACGTTTTCGAGCTAATAAAAATATTTTTAATCGAACTACGAAGACGTTTTCGAGCTAATAAAAATATTTTTAATCGAACTACGAAGACGTTTTCGAGCTGATAAAAATATTTTTAATCGAACTACGAAGACGTTTTCAGGCTGATAAAAATATTTTTAATCGAACTACGAAGACGTTTTCGAGCTAATAAAAATATTTTTAATCGAACTACGAAGACGTTTTCAGGCTGATAAAAATATTTTTAATCGAACTACGAAGACGTTTTCGAGCTAATAAAAATATTTTTAATCGAACTACGAAGACGTTTTCAGGCTGATAAAAATATTTTTAATCGAACTACGAAGACGTTTTCAGGCTAATAAAAATATTTTTAATCGAACTACGAAGACGTTTTCGAGCTAATAAAAATATTTTTAATCAAACTACGAAGACGTTTTCGAGCTAATAAAAATATTTTTAATCAAACTACGAAGACGTTTTCGAGCTAATAAAAATATTTTTAATCGAACTACGAAGACGTTTTCGAGCTAATAAAAATATTTTTAATCAAACTACGAAGACGTTTTCGAGCTAATAAAAATATTTTTAATCGAACTACGAAGACGTTTTCGAGCTAATAAAAATATTTTTAATCGAACTACGAAGACGTTTTCGAGCTAATAAAAACATTTTTAATCGAACTACGAAGACGTTTTCGAGCTAATAAAAATATTTTTAATCGAATTACGAAGACGTTCTCGAGCTAATAAAAATATTTTTAATCGAACTACGAAGACGTTTTCGAGCTAATAAAAATATTTTTAATCAAACTACGAAGACGTTTTCGAGCTAATAAAAATATTTTTAATCGAACTACGAAGACGTTTTCAGGCTGATAAAAATATTTTTAATCGAACTACGAAGACGTTTTCAGGCTGATAAAAATATTTTTAATCGAACTACGAAGACGTTTTCAGGCTGATAAAAATATTTTTAATCGAACTACGAAGACGTTTTCAGGCTAATAAAAATATTTTTAATCGAACTACGAAGACGTTCTCGAGCTAACAAAAATATTTTTAATCGAACTACGAAGAGGTTTTCGAGCTAATAAAAATATTTTTAATCGAACTACGAAGACGTTTTCGAGCTAATAAAAATATTTTTAATCGAACTACGAAGACGTTTTCGAGCTAATAAAAACATTTTTAATCGAACTACGAAGACGTTTTCGAGCTAATAAAAATATTTTTAATCGAACTACGAAGACGTTTTCGAGCTGATAAAAATATTTTTAATCGAACTACGAAGACGTTTTCAGGCTGATAAAAATATTTTTAATCGAACTACGAAGACGTTTTCGAGCTAATAAAAATATTTTTAATCGAACTACGAAGACGTTTTCAGGCTGATAAAAATATTTTTAATCGAACTACGAAGACGTTTTCGAGCTAATAAAAATATTTTTAATCGAACTACGAAGACGTTTTCAGGCTGATAAAAATATTTTTAATCGAACTACGAAGACGTTTTCAGGCTAATAAAAATATTTTTAATCGAACTACGAAGACGTTTTCGAGCTAATAAAAATATTTTTAATCAAACTACGAAGACGTTTTCGAGCTAATAAAAATATTTTTAATCAAACTACGAAGACGTTTTCGAGCTAATAAAAATATTTTTAATCGAACTACGAAGACGTTTTCGAGCTAATAAAAATATTTTTAATCAAACTACGAAGACGTTTTCGAGCTAATAAAAATATTTTTAATCGAACTACGAAGACGTTTTCGAGCTAATAAAAATATTTTTAATCGAACTACGAAGACGTTTTCGAGCTAATAAAAACATTTTTAATCGAACTACGAAGACGTTTTCGAGCTAATAAAAATATTTTTAATCGAATTACGAAGACGTTCTCGAGCTAATAAAAATATTTTTAATCGAACTACGAAGACGTTTTCGAGCTAATAAAAATATTTTTAATCGAACTACGAAGACGTTTTCGAGCTAATAAAAATATTTTTAATCGAACTACGAAGACGTTTTCGAGCTAATAAAAATATTTTTAATCGAACTACGAAGACGTTTTCGAGCTAATAAAAATATTTTTAATCGAACTACGAAGACGTTTTCAGGCTGATAAAAATATTTTTAATCGAACTACGAAGACGTTTTCGAGCTAATAAAAATATTTTTAATCGAATTACGAAGACGTTCTCGAGCTAATAAAAATATTTTTGATCGAACTACGAAGACGTTTTCGAGCTAATAAAAATATTTTTAATCAAACTACGAAGACGTTTTCGAGCTAATAAAAATATTTTTAATCGAACTACGAAGACGTTTTCGAGCTAATAAAAATATTTTTAATCGAACTACGAAGACGTTTTCGAGCTAATAAAAACATTTTTAATCGAACTACGAAGACGTTTTCGAGCTAATAAAAATATTTTTAATCGAATTACGAAGACGTTCTCGAGCTAATAAAAATATTTTTAATCGAACTACGAAGACGTTTTCGAGCTAATAAAAATATTTTTAATCGAACTACGAAGACGTTTTCGAGCTAATAAAAATATTTTTAATCAAACTACGAAGACGTTTTCGAGCTAATAAAAATATTTTTAATCGAACTACGAAGACGTTTTCGAGCTAATAAAAATATTTTTAATCGAACTACGAAGACGTTTTCGAGCTAATAAAAATATTTTTAATCAAACTACGAAGACGTTTTCGAGCTAATAAAAATATTTTTAATCGAACTACGAAGACGTTTTCGAGCTAATAAAAATATTTTTAATCAAACTACGAAGACGTTTTCAGGCTGATAAAAATATTTTTGTTTGAAATTGGAAATTTGACCTGGAAAAGAAGCACGTGGAGATGCCAATAAGCTTATCATGATTTGAATACACCGTCGGAAAAAGTGGATATTTGCCGACTTACTACACCAAATATCACGAGCACCCCGGGCGGCCCGATGCGTACGCTCGCCTTCTTGTTGCTGCTCACCAACTTGGTGCTCCGGGCGCGATGTGAGATTTTGGTATGTTTGGCTTATTTTATTGTTGCTGGCCACGCTTCGTCTCGATTACCTTCTTTTTCAGGTCCCGATTCTGGGAAAGGACGAGGCCGTGGCTCCGGCAGAAGAACTTGGAACAGTCGAGGAGCCAAATGAGGGTTCCGTCAAAGATGAGCACGTCAGGGTAAGGAGAAATTTTCGAATTGACGAAAAAGTGTTTTTGCAGGCCAAACGTTTGATGATGCGTGGGTGTTCAACAACCTTCGGTTCTTTCGCATCATCAAGGGGGGGGGGGGCTCGGACTTTTTTTGTATAGTTTTAGAAATGCCTGGTAACTTAATAGTCTGTTAATATTGTTTTTAGCAATATATAACTATATTTCAACACGAAAGTTTAAAACTATCTATCTTTAAAACTATATTAAACAACACGAACTATCTAAAAAGTTTAAAAAGTCGAAATTTTGGTCAAGATCGGCCTTTTTCGGTCAAAAAATCTATGTTTTCGATATTTTTTAATGCAAATTTGTAAAGGTTTCACGGTTAAAAAACCCAAACTTCACATGCCGTTAACGCTGGATCTGCTCATGCTGTATATGCCCGATTTTGATTTGGCTGAATTTAGGCGGCGGCGGTCGTGGCGGCGGTTATGGCGGCCGAGGCGTTTTTAATCGCGGTGGCGGCGGATATCGGGGCGGTGTGCACCCCGGCGGCCATCACCACGTTGGCGTGGTCGGGAGGCCTGGTAAGCGCTCCTCTTGATATTATCTCATCAGATTAACACCCCGTCAGGGTTTTGGCCAACTTGACTATACGATGCTCTTACCTAGCAGCCAGACTCTCGCGCAACGCCCCAACAATTCTAGGTTACCACGTCCATCGCCCGGTGTTTTTCGGCGGCTACTACGGTGGCTTCTACCACCGTCCGATGTTTGGGTAGGCGATGATCCAGTTTCACCCATCACTTCGGGTTCAGCTACTACTGGCCCGGCGGCTTCATCTTTGCCCACCACTACGGGTACCCGGTCGGCGGAGGCGAAAGTTGGTGGTAGCATTGGGCTTTGGTTGTTGAAGCCCGGAAAAGATTATTCTTGCTTTGTAGTGGCCGTCTCGATCATCCTGATGATCGTGTTGGTGATCATCCTGATCGCCTGCGTCAGCGGCTGCATTTGGGCGTGCTGTAGGAGTCGAAATATGGCGGAAAAATTCTGGTTCTAGGCCGTTGCTGCCATGGTGACCAGCCCCAGCCGTACGTCGAGCCCTACTGTGCGCCTGGTGGGTGCATTGACTAAAACACTTTTTAGGCAAAACATTGACATTCTGCTTTATGGCCAAAACTGCGCAAAAATGCGTTTAAAAGTGCGAGCATCCGCACAGGGGTAAATAAATTAAGAAAACGAAACTGTTTGTTTTCTGACTTTAAGAGCTTTCGATGAAGTAAAAACCTCCCAGTCGGGGCTTCTTCCGGTTCGGTCGAGGGGGTACTCCTTTTAAGAAACTGATGGCCCTGAAAACTGATTTTCCAGTCGTCGTCGATCCGTGCATGCCGGTGATGGTTGACCCGTGTATGCCCGCCTACGTCGAGCCGTGTCCGCCCCCAGTCATCATCGAGCCATGCCCGCCCCCGTATATGGCGCCTTGCCCGCCGCCATACGTGCCCTATCCGCCGCCACCACCCGGTGCCCCCGTCTACTATTGCTAGAAGTGGGCTTTACGACACGACGGCCCGAAATTTCTAAACTTAGATTCCGGATTCACCGTCGTCTCCCCGGCCTACCGACTCGAAAGCGTGCTCTGGCTTTGGAATAATAGACTCGTCAGACTCAGATGCTTTTTGAATAAAGATTCGACAAAATGCTGAGACTCAGACATCATGCGCGTGATTTTCAACACGCCGAATTTGTCGAAATCCATTCGCGACACGTCAAATCCACGCCATAAATCTGCTCATCACGGCAGAAAATATCCCATAACCCGTTCCCAAGGATCATCGCGGGAATCGTGCAAAATGAATTACAATGAGACAAAGAGCGTTCAACGCGTCCAGCAAAAACATAAACCCAACATCATTTTAACATTTATTCGTGGTGCAAGTTCAAATGAGCATAGATTCTTCATAGGTTCGTACTTAATGTCAGTGGGCGGATGAGACTTGTAAGGCGATGTCGACGCAGGGGGTCTATCGGCGCTTCTTGGCCTTCGAGGCCTTCTTGTTGTCGGAGCGCGCCTTCTTCGAATGTTTCGGGTTCTTCCCAGCCACCATTTGGAATTTGCCTAAAATTCGGGAACTCAAGGAAAAAGCGAAAGACCTTTTGAAGCAGTTCGATGTTTTTGCTTCGGATTTCCGGGTCGCGCATTAACGTCAACGCTCGGTTCGACCGGCTTCGGCTTCCTCTTATCCCTGCTGCCCGGGGAGATGGGAAGCTGACGGCGCTGAAAAGTGGGAGTGAAGATTTGGATAAATATTCTAGCAAAACATTTTTACGACAATCGCTTCCAGACTCATATTCTGAAACTCGTAACCGAGTCAAAATCGATCTGGAAAAGACGATCCCTTCCTCATAATATACCTCAAAAATCATACCATAACATTATTCGGCCGCGGCACTGAGCTGCTCCTCGACTGCTGCTGCTGCTGTTGTTGTTGTCGCTGTTGTTGGCGTTGCTGTTGGGGCTGCTGCTTCTTGTACGCATCGCCCTCGACGACGCCGTACAGCTGGTGGAGGCCGGATGGAGTCGGGTGACCGGTAGGTGAGCCGATTGGAGGACGAGCTGGAAAAGAGCCGGATTTGTGGAAGTAGGACGAAAAGCGTGAGATCGAATTTTTTAAATTTGTTAAAATGCATTTATAGCTGTTTGCAAACCAATCTATAAAAAAAAACACGAAATGTGCTTTTTCGATTTGCCAAAATTGTTTCAAACAACCAAAACAGTGATCCAAAAGCCTCTAGAAGCGCAGAAAAATAAAGCGCTTTTTTAACAGTTTCGTTCAGGTGGTTTTTAATTTTTTTTGTTCCATCCGGGATGCCCGAATAGAATCTAGGCAACTGCCCCCACCTTGGCCTGGGCGCCTGTTGTCGGCGGCCGGCTGAATTGGTGCCCCGTTGGCGCCTTGGACACCGTACACGAGGTGCATGCCAGATTTTGTGGGCTTGGGCGGCGGCGAGAAGGCGGCACGTGCAAAGTCTAAAGTGGGAAGTGAGAAACGGGTAATGTTGCCAACATGGCAATCTGGCCGTCTCCATGTTGACGCCGGGATCAGGCTGCGCAGTGGGCTGCGGCTGTTGTTTCGCCTTGGCGGCCTCTGCGGCAGCCGCATCCGCCGAACCATCGGTGACACCATAGAGCAGGTGGTAGCCGGACTTGGTGACACGAGGTGGCGGCGATCGTTCGACACGAGCAAAGTCTAGAAGAATTTGTGCAAGTTAAGTGAAGCCTACATGGCAGGCGAGCCGTCTGCATGTTGTACGTCGGCTCAGCGGGGCCGGTCGCGCGGGTCGGCGGTGGCTTCGGAGGGATACCGTCAAGTTGACCATAACGAGATTTCGAGGCTTTTGGCGGTGGAGAGTCGCCATCATTCGCTAAATTCAAGAATGCGCATTTTAAGCAAAGAAACGAACGGGCAGAGCCTGGCCCCTCGATCATCGCCTTCGTGTCACTTTCGGTCGGGGCAATTTGGCCAGCCCATCTCACACCTCCTCCCTCTTGAGCCTCCTTGGGTTTGGATGGTTGGGCTGAAAACCAAAGATAAATAAAAGCCCGGAAAACAGGACAATTACACTGAACCCTGCGTTCTTTGGCACCGGGCTTCGGATAGCGCCCTGAGCCGGCTGGTCGCTGGTGGTCGAGCTCGACGGGCACCTCTTCGGCTGTTTGCACTTCCTGACGCGGTTGCGCAGCTTCCGGCTACGAAGACGTAGAAATAAACGTCGGTTCCGGAAATCTTACATCCATCGCACAATCCGCCTCGAAGCCGACGGTTTTGCCGGGGATCGCGCGAACCTGGACCGGGTCCTTGCCGTCATCTTCTCCCTTGTAGTCGATCTCCACATCGATTGTGTACTGAAAAAAACAATATGTTCGAAAATTGAAACTTTGATCGAAAATACGCCTTTATCAACTGAAAACAATTTTTTTGCATCGTTATTAAAAAGTGGTACCGGAAAAGGAAAAACGGTGTACGAACACTTCCTGGATCTATATAAGGAAAAAAAACGGATCCTAACGAAAAAGCGGGCCAAAGAACCGAGCTATGAAATCGTACCTTCCTCTGACTTCTCGGGTCTTTCGAGCGGCGGTGATGATGTTTGCCCTTTTTGCTCTTCTTCTTCTTGCCATGTTTCTGAGGGTAGTGCTGCTCGGGCGGATCGTTGAAGGACGAGGCTGGTGTCGAGTAGGTGACCATCGGTTGGCGACGGGGCGGCAGAGGCGGCTCGGGTGGCGGAGTGCATGGTTGCCCGGTCACCTCATCTTGTGATGTAGGCGATCGGACGAGAATTGGCGAGCAGCCGGGTTCGACGAGACGATTACGCCGCCGGTAGGCCGGGCTGTAGGCTGGCTTTCTCGAGGGATAGCGGCCATCTCCGGTGCGCTAGAATACAGGTTGTGAGCGCAAAGCTTACGGTGCTATACCCTTTGCTGCTGCAATCCATCATGCTCACGCGGAATGCGCTCGTGCCAATATTCCGGATACTCATCCGTCGGCTGAAAAAATAAAAATGGGAACATAAAAAAAGAAGCTGACCACACGGTCTTCCGGCTCCAGCACCATTTTCCCTCTATAAAGCAGCCCGTAGTGGTGGTGGTGATGTTCTTCCACGCGATGTATGGTTGGCGCACCCTCAATCGGGATCGAAACCAAAAATACTCGCCAACCTCGATCTGGGGCGGCTCTTCGGGCACTTCCAGCTCGCATTCGGGCGCTTCAGCACAATTGATGCCGGGCGGAATCGGCCCCGCGGAGCCGTCCATCTTGAGCAGCATGATGGTCTGCTGGGTGGAAACGTCTTCGACGGTGGTCAGACGGATGTGGTGGCAATGGGCCGCGACGAGAAGTTCAACCCGTTCGACGGGTTCGGTGCGCCGGAATCGGCCGCGATCAACCCGGACACATTGTAGGCGCCGGGCGCGCAGGTGTTTCACCCTAAAAAGTCAGGTCAAAAATAAAAAAATCAGGTCACCTGAAAATCCGTGGCTGCCGAATCTTGTGCTCCACCGCCACGTGCTTGCCGAGCGCCAACGTGTAATGAATTGTCAGCCAGGGCGGCTTGTAACTGGAAAATCATATTGATTAGGAAGTTAGAAGCTGACATTTCGGCCTCGCATTTCGGTGGCGGGGCGGTCATCAGCGTGGCCGTGTACTGCTCGAAGCCGCGGCTTGTGGGGTCGTCGACGGAGTGGACCAACTAAAAAGATATCGATAGATCTCTTCAAGCTTTACCTGTTGCAAAGGAGGGGCAGTGAAGCGATGGATCTCCTGGACGGGCTTGTTGAGGATGAGCGAGAGACGTGGGTAGTAGAGGGCAGAGCTGGGCACAAAGCGAGTGATCTGGGCCGTCTGCACTAGCGATGGAACGACACGAAGACTAGCCCATTCCCTCTGGAAAAACTTATAAGTAAGACTCCGAGAAGCAGCCTTACCTTAGCGGACCGAAGTACTATCACTGGCCCTTTGATGATGTCTTTTGGGCGCTCCAGTTTGCTCATCTTCGCCGAAAGGCAGGGCATGGCTCGAACGAAGTGCGGATGTTGTTCTTTCTTCGGGTCGCGCAGCGTAACCTAAATTTGGGTGGCTTATAACGCGCAATCAGGAAGTCGCTTTAGTTGATGTTGCCAGCCTAAAAACCTTTTGCGTTTTAGGCTGATTGAATAGAGCTTAAAATTCTGAACTTTGCTGTGCGATAACTGCTTACTGAAAATTCGCTTTCAACGGGCCAATTTATTCAATGTCTTAACTTCGGCTTACAAAATGCGAACTTCGAGAAACTTCTCCACCAAAGCCGTTACCACATAAGTTTTAAAAGACATGATTTGTTCAGAATCTCAAGCTCTATCAACTGAGCTTGGAAACACCTCCGCAAACCCCATACTTTACGAAAAACAGCTCCTTGTAGGCTACCAATCATTACTTCTAAAAGTCATTACTTCCAAAATCATTACTTCTAAAAGTCATTACTTCTAAAAGTCATTACTTCTAAAAGTCATTACTTCTAAAAGTCGTTACTTCTAAAATTCTAAGCGTATTTTTGGGCATAAAGATGCCGAAAAACTGGTAATCCGGCATAACAAATTTTAGAAGTAACGTTTTTAGAAGTAATGACTTTTAGAAGTAATGACTTTTAGAAGTAATGATCGTACCCCCTCCTTGTAATGACCAACCTTGTCAGCATGCAGCGGGGTTCCATCGAGACGGAATTTGCGATGAACCGGCGGGGTAATGTGCAGCCCGGTGATTCCCATGTGCGACGGCGTACGGGAGGCCAAGACAGGATGAGTGGGCTAAAAAGGAAGTTTCTAACAAAAATAGAAAAAACGGACCGGGAGAACTGGGCGACGTTGCAGATCGCGGGGCGGAGGTGGTGGTGGCTGTTGTCGCGGGCGGGGCTTGGGTCCTTGGTAGATTTGGGCGACCATTTCAGGGCCATTGCACTCGGTGCGTCGTCCTCCGTTGCCTTGAAGCCGAACACAGATCTCCGTGTTCTCGCCATCGCTCGGATCCCAGACTCGGCCGTTGCCACGCGGGTACTCGATCTCGGAACTGAAAAGGTAAAAATAAGTAGGTGAATCGGAGAAATAACGGAGAATGCGAAAAAAAACGGAATGAAAATTGGCAACAAGGCAGCCCCTTCCCCACACAAAGCTTGAGCTGGCAGACCTTGGATCGTCCGAACTTTCAGCCCATTGCTTCTCGCGGCGCCTCACCATCTGATGAAAACGCGATAGAGAGAAGCACGAATAAGTTTTAAAGCAAAAAGGCGGGCGTAGAAAAGTGCGGCAGAGCGGATTTTTTGCCTTTTATGTGCTTTTTCTTATGCTGATTCACATCCGGAAATGCTTTGCAAATTTCTCGCAGTCTGATTTGTAAATTCAAATGAAGTAGTTCATGGCCTCTCTCCCCACAGGGAATAATCGCAACGATGTCCAAGAGCCAAAACCGGGCCGTAACTAAACAATCCGTCCAAAAATATCGCTGTAATTAATATTCGAGTACGATGATACATTTATTACAATCTGAAGCGTAAGTTAATAAGGTATCCGCTCGGTTTACGGCTTTGGTGGTGCGTAGATCGTCGGTACGGCGATGACGCTGGGGAATGGGCGCGGGGCTGGGTTTTGTGCCGGGAAAGGGATGGGTTGCTGAGGACGCGGCGGCTTTTGCTGCTGCTGAACTTGCGGGAAGGCGGGCTGTGGGCGGACGGCAACCTAAAATACACAGTTTCCTGCGTTTTATAACCAATCCGTCGATATTTCGCAGACCTACTCCAAATGATTGAGCCACAAGCTGCAAGCGCGGTTGGGATAGAGCTGGTTGTGGCTGTCCCGGGATCTAAGATTTAGAGTTAAAAGGCAGAGAAAGTTACAGAATGAGATTAGAAGCTCAAAAACCTTACCGCAACTTGTTGAGGCTGAGCTGGGAAGGGCTGGGCTGGGAAGGGCTGCAGCGGGCGAGCAGGAGCCTGAGTAATTTTGCTGGTATTTTCATTCATTTTCATTTTTATCGACTTCATTTAGCCTTAACCGTACCTGAAACGGAAGCGGTTGGCCGGCAGTTGTTTGTAGGCGTGGAGACTTTGGCATCAACGGCGATCGTGGGGGCACGAAGAGTGGTGGTCGGCCGGGGAATTTTTGCTGTAGGCCTGGCCCCGGAGGAGTCGGCGCTTTCATGTTGAGCGGGATGGCAGTTTCTAAAGTGTGATAACTTGGATTCAATTATGTGAAAAACTACCTGGAGATATCCCAACTTCATGTGGCTGAATCGGGGTGACCACTGATATGCATCGATCCTGAAAAATCGAGAGGATCGAATTTTTCCCGTTTCCCGAAAATTAATTGTAGTGGGACCGGATTTTTATTAAGATTCAATTTTTATATTAAGAGGAACTTCTTCTATAGCGCTTTTTGATAGCTAGCCGTAAAAACTGCAACCCTAATTTTACGAACGATAAGAAAGGTGTTTTTTTTCCCGAACATACGTCTCTGATTTTCATCCGAATTCACCAGGATTTTGCACAAGATCCTTTTATCACAACCTAAAACTTACTCCCGGGCTAGCCGGCTTCTTCACTGCATGCTTGGTTGCTGTCTTTATGATGTTGGTCTCGGGGCTGCCGCTCGTCTTCCGCCCGTCCGGGCTGCTACCCTCGGGGCTCATCAACGTCATCAAGGGGTTCAACCCCTTGTTGTCGATGTACTCCTCCGTGTCCATTTGGGATTTTCCAGCTAAAAATAACCTTAAAAATTTGAGGCTCAAAATACCATCTTTGGTATGGGCTGGCTTTCTCTTCTTGCGCGTCTTTGCCGTGACCTGCCGATGGAGTTGGTGGATTTGGGGTTCATGCTTATCGGGCACTGCAAAAATTCGGGTATCATCACAAAAAATTGGGCAACTTTGTTGTTGACTATCCAGGGCGACCTTCTTCTTCTTTTTCTTATTACGCCCTTCCGTGTCCACCGTCTCCGGCGAGTTCAGAGTTGCTGATCATGGCAATTAAATGGATAAAAAAGTAGATAGCCACCCCCAACAGTATTGCAGGTAGCGGGGTCGCGAGTCCTCAGTGTCTTTGCTGATCGCCCAGAATTCTGGTGCTTCTTTTTCTTGCCGCTCTTTCTGCTGGGCTTTCCGCTGCCGCTTCGTCCGCTCTCTTTTTCACGTCGCTTCTAAGTCAAGGTTTAGAAAAATCAATTCCAGCCACCTTTCCACTTCCGCTTCGCCGGATTTGGTGGTCGGAATCTTTGTCGTGGGTTAAAGGGCTGCTACCAGAAGAGAGGCGTGAAGAAGGCTGAAAGCAAAGTTTGAGTCATAAAATTAGGATCTACCTCTGCTTTTCTGGTTAATTTTGGAGCCTTTTCCCTGCCGGAAGCCGACGATCTTGACCTGGTGGACGGCAAAGTTTGGCTGGACGCGATACCATCGTCGCCGATTCCGACCAGGACTAAATACAAAGTAAAAAGTACAATTCTAGTCAACCAACCAATCGGTTTCTCGCGGATCTGGCTTTGTAAATAGCATGCCCAGCCGAGGTAAGCCCAGAAGAGGATTTCGAGTATGCCGGTGGTCTGAAAATCGAATGTCTGGCTAGCAAGGTAAAAAAGTAGTAAAATAGCAGAAAGCCATAAAAAGCCCCACGATCATGACAACATACGGCGCGGTGCCGAGCTTCTCGGGCCTGACTTGAGCTTCAACGGTGCAGAAGACGCAGTTGGCGGCGACCAAGATGATGGCAAAGAAGGAGAGGCAGGCTTCCTGAAAAAGTAAAGTGTTTCCAAGTTTTTGCCTTCTGTTTCTTCTTCTGAAATAAGGGCTTCTAAATGATTGGTGCTAGGTAGATTTCGTACTCTTGTAATCCATTACGGAATGAAACCACGGGCCGCGCGTTGCGGTAGAATCGGATATGCAACGCACCCGCCCTATTTCCCTAATAATCCGTTACGAAATGGAATTGTGCGCGTTGCGGACCGCGGGCGCGAGAGTGTTTAGGAAACCCAGAGCCGAAAAAACCCTAAAAAGAACAACCTAAATAATAAAAAATACCCAAAGCGCCGCCAGCTCGTAGCCCATAAAGTCGCAGATGCCGACGAAGAGCACGAGCGCCGCCGGGATCATGAACGTGTAGGTGGAGATGGCGCCCATCGCTTGGAGCAACGACACGGACGCAGAGATCAATGCTGTGACCTAAGAAAAATGAAAAAGAAATTGATTAAAAAACTAAAGTGAATAGTGAAAAAACCCACAAGAAGAATGATTCGAATTAATTGGCGTTTAGACATAGCGTCGCTCTAAAAAAAAGTTTGTATACGTTGAGGGGTAAGTTACGAATTTTGTAGCGACCGCATACAAGAAGGAACCCGTAGAAAATGGCTTCTTTTGTTTGTGAATACAGAAAATTAAGCTCATGCAGATTGACTTTCACGTAGAACGTTACTTTGGCAAATTCACCTTTTGTGGAAATTTGCTTTTACTTTTTAACACATTTTACAAAGTTGATTTCATAACTTTTGTACGCCGCTTTTTCATAATTTTAGTGTTATTTTACGTTGTAAAACCGTGATGAATAAAAGCTTTATTTTGCACACAATTATTTCGATTAGACCCGTGGAGATATAGGCGAATGGCCGGCCAAAGTGCTGGTTTTGCGAAATTTGATACCTCAATAATATTGCGGGGAAACAGAGGAACGTTTAAAATTCGTTATCGGCCTATTCGTGTGACAGTAAAAAGACTGAAGAATTGGCGCCATAAGAAGGCGTGTAAAAATGCATGGAAAATAATAAAATTGATTGAAGCCTAGATTTCTAGGTACTTAACTGTTAGCGGGGGAGAAAACTGGGGAACTGGGAAATTTTTCAATTTTCTAAAGATGTTTTTGTGACTTTTGAAAAACGCTAAAAAGTTGCTAGGTAGCAGAAGCTAGCTAGACCCCCCGCTAACAACCCAGTACCAAATTTGTAAACCTAGGAGAGGAAAGATGGGGACAACACGACTTCAGACGCGATCAGCTTGCTCTCGACGAGCGGTGACAGCGCGTAGGGGGACAGCACGACGGCGAAGAGGACTTGTGGCGACAGGATGATGGGGGACAGCACGAAGGGGGATAAGATCAACGGCGAGCCGACGGCTGGCGTCAAGATCAGCGGCGACAGGGCGAACGGGGAGAGGATCACGGGTGTGAATACCTGAATTTGGTTAATTACGTATAGGTTTTAGCCATTTTTATAAGGCTTGGTCATGTGCATTTTCTTTTACTGACCTGTGGCGACAGGATGAAGGGCGACAAGACGAACGGGGACAAGATCAACGGGTTGAAGATGCCGGGCGAGAGGATCAGGGGGTGGAGCACGAGAGGACTAAAATTGGCATACTTTTATAAATTCTTAGTGGCGATTTTTTTAGGTTTTAAAGTTATTTTTGAAGTTTTTAAAGTATAAAGTTATTCTTTAGTTAAATTCGCCTAGTTGAGTAGCTTTTTACAAATCATTTTTTGCCAATAATTTGCGAAAATAATTAAGTTTGGATGGTTAACCTTTTTTATGCTTTGCGAGCTCATGTTCTGAAAAGATTTGCTGTATAATTATAAAGCTAAATCCGAGAATCATCCAAGAAAAATTAACGAAGTTCATGAAAGTTTTGACGAGTTTTTATATTAGGTAGTAATTCTACTTCTTTTAATTTACCTTTTTTATATATTGAAGATCAAAAGAAGATTCTTTTTTAAGGTTTCGTATAAACTTTATCCGTTGTCAAAAGGTATTCATAGAATTTCCTCTTAAAATTCAAGTTAAATAATTACATTTTAGACAAACCTAAGAATAATTGGCGAGAAGATCAGCGGGTTGACGATGAGCGGCGAGAGGACGCGAGGTGACAGGATGACAGGGATGAAAACCTAATTTTCTTTGTTATTTTCAATATCTTTATTTAGGAATACCCAGGGCGACAAAATGACGGGCCCGTTGACGGCCGGGGACAAGATAACGGGCGACATGACGACCGGGGAAAGCACGATGAACGTGTTGGACATGACGGCCGAGGCGACTACAAGGATTTTTGAGTTATTTTGATTTGTTTTCAGCTATTATATTGTTCAGTTACCGTTTTCGAAACCTACATAGCAGAGGCGTGTTGATGATCGGGGACAACACAATGTTTCGCTTCCTTCTCTTGTGTTCTTGCACTAACGAGGTGACGTTTTGGGTGGCGAATTTGTAGTCGTGCTCGCCGAGGTGGATGATTCTGACAAAAAAAATCTAATATAAACAAATTAACTGAATTTATGGTATTTTTTTTATTATCCCTAAACGTAGCACTCTACCAAATTTTACTAAAACTACAAAAATATAGATATTTCGCCCAAAATCGTCGACTTACCACGAAAATGTCCAACTTTCTTCTTTTCATTTCGAACTTTCGAAAATTTTCTAGGTTTACAAATAGATTTCCCTTTAAATATAGTTAATTTCAGGGAAAACAAAGTGAAAATGTTTGCAATATTGTGAAAAAAACTAAACTGATCGATCATAGACAAAAATTTGAAATCGAACTTTTTAAAAACTTTCTTGAGGTTTCTAAATCGTTTTTGCGTCATAAAGTTACCTTAATTTTGTTCAACAAGCTATTAAAGCACTTGTTAAGCTGATCTGGACTTATAGAAAAAATCTGAAATCCGTGTGTCCGGAAAAATGCTTAACTACTAAACTACTGGTGGAAATCCAAAAGAATACTGCGTTTTAAGGTATATTTCCAGGGTCCACGTCGTTAATTAATTAATCGGTAGTACGATTCCTTACTCGTTCCGGATTTGCCGATGTTTAGCAGCGTTCGATTTGCGCGCGAATTCCTTGTAGCGCTCGAGTCTTTCGGCGTCGTGGTACGGGCTGTCCTTGCCGTACATCATCTCTACCTGCTCCTCCGTCATGAAGGCGAAGCCCTGCTTGTCGAGAGCGGATACCTAACGATAGACAGCTTATATTAAACGCTTTAGTCTACTTTTCTACCACTTCTAAAGCTGTAAAAACTATACCTTACCTGCTTAGCGTCATAATTATGCGCCAGTTTCTCGAAGACATCCACCTTGTCGGTTTCCTTGCTTCCGTAGCTGAAAATAGAATGAACATTAAAGGATAAAAAAATACTCACATATCTGTAAGATTTTTCTTATTAAAATATAGCGGTGTCCCGTCCGGAGTTCGCAGCGCGCCATCTTTTGTGGCTTTTTTGGCGGCTCGCGCGCTATCGACAGCGTCGCCGACTCCTAAAATTCATAGTTTAAGAGTTTTTAGAATAATAATCCTCCGAATTTCTTGATATCGGTCTCCAGATTTGTCTCAAATTGTAATAATAAGTATTTTAGCCGTGTTACTCATAAAATTTAGCTGTATTTAACACGGAAAACTACCTTTAAAACCTGGAAAAAACTTTTAAAAAAACTTGAATGTCGGCCAAGATGCGGCTTTTTGATGGAAAATTCGATTTTTGAGATTTAACACAAATCTGTCAAGTTTTTACGTCTAGGAAAAGTAAAACCCCGTGCAGCCAGACTTCCTGCTATTTATCTCAATAGGATCCTATGAAAAAAGTTGTCCCCCCGATATTGGAAAAGAACCTCAGAAACACCAAAACCAACCTGAAGCTTCAACAACAAAGTCCATCCAAGCCTGCTGCTCCTTTTTGGTCAGCTTTTTGAGCATTCCCGGAAGTGAGAGCGGGCTTTCATTCTTTCCACCCTCGTCGTGTAGGGAAAATAGCGACGGGGAGAATACAGATACCTAAAACCGCGTTAAAAATAGTTAAACCAATCCATACCAAATCCTCATCATCCTGATCTTTCACCAGCGAGAAGAAGCGCGGGGAGCCGAGCCTGAAGAATTTTTCAGAGTTTTTGATCGTAAATTTTCTCTACCTCAACGTCTTCTTCTCAAAGTTCGTGACATTTTGGCCGCTCAACATCATCCCAAGCTTTATGGCCTCGCGGACAACCTGGAAAACACGAATTTAAAGTTTTTCTATAAAAACCCAGAGGTAAAAAGTAAAATTCATAAGTTTTCCTACCTTCAATGGAACGCGGACATCTTCCGTGGCCTTGGCCTTCTTCAGCAGCTCTTCCTTCTTCCGTAGGGTATCGTCCATCTATGGAAAAAGGTAAACCCCTTATTTTTGTAGTTTATACCTGCTCCAGGGCGTCGGTTCTCCACCCATCTTCCAGCTTCTTCGGCGTGTTGTTGATCCACGATTTCAGGCGTCGCATTAGGGCTTTCTAAAAAGCTTATGATGAAGATAAAAAAAGAAAAAGTATAGAAAAGCTTCTATCCTTTAGATAAAGCTCTCTAAACTAAACGATTTGGCACAATTAGAATGAAAGAAAAAGCGAGAAAACAATATAAAACTACCTTTTTCCTCTTTTCCATCCGATCCTCATCGGCCGTTTGGTGGACCTCATTGAGGATGGTTTGCCAGCTGAAAAACGTGTTTTTTAAACGATCTATTTTTATAAATCAAGTACCAAGCTTTATTTTAACTAAATTAATATAAACTAATAGATTGTTATAATTACAAATTAATTAATTTAAAGTTTGATCTTACTTTCGCGGTTGTTTACGGCCGCGTAGGGCGCGCACGCCGCTGGTCATGTGGCGAGCAATCTGAAGAAATCACTTTTATTAACGTTTCAAGCATATTTTGCACAAATTTAAGCGGAAATTTAACTTTTAGACGTTTCCGCAGTTTAATAAAACTTGTAAGACTGAGAAGACAAAATGAAGCTAAAGTCTGGCTCGAAAAATTTTCGAATGCTATTTTCGCCATTTTAGAGCTTTTTCACATTACAGGGTGGGGCAAAAAAAAGTGCCGTAGTTTGTCCCCAATTATCTCGAGAAGGAAAGATATTTCACCGTGCGTTACCATGCCAGAATGCTTAAATATGTCAGGAATAGGGAAATAACTCAACTTGATTTTTTCTATTTTTGGCGACGTATCAATACAAATGACACCCGAAAACTGTGCGCTCGGGGAAATCTTACTTTGCCTTTTTCTAAATTTCCTGTGGTGGCTAGCATCTAATTTTTATTACGTAAGTTAATATAAGCAGCAGATATGTACCTAAAAAATTTAAGAATTTTTGAGGGTCTGGTTGAAAAGTTAGAGAGGAATGAAATTTTGTATGGAGAAATTTCGTAAATTTTTATTATTAAAAAAACCTATGGCGTAAACCTCAAAATCAGTTGTTGTGGAATATCTACGAGCCCGTTACAATCGCATAAAAATCTTAAAAAAATTTTTGAGATCGATGAATTTTCGAGTTTTTCATCGACCCCCTGGTCATGGATTTTTCGAGATCTCGAAATCGAATTTTGGAAAAATATTTCTAAATTGCCAAAGGGGACTCAGCTGTTTTCTTTGCTTAGCTATGTAGTACTGGGGTTTATCTATCATTTACAAAATTTCTATCTACCGTACCTCTTTGGAAGGGCGTCTTTTAGGGCTTCCAAAACGGTTGGTTCGCGCTTTTTTCCGAATCTTGTCACCATTTTATAAAATTTAGTGGCGCTGTGAAAATTATTGTCTTATTTTTATCTGATACCTGGTGAATAGCGCATCCTAAAGCCTTATTCATGAATTTTTTTAACCAGCGGTTGGCGCCAGGAAAATTCATCAAAACCCGAAATAAACCGAATTGGAGGTTGCGTCAAAAAATTTTGGAAGGTGGAGTCGTAGGGATATTTTGAGCAATAAGTCTGTGCTATCAGTTGAATAAAACTATGCAAAGACTAAGACAATTTTCCGTCGAAATTTTTTTTTTTAAAGAATTTCAAACTTCGATTTTGGAATAGGGTGATCTTCGAATTTGAGCTGAAAGTCACCATACGTTTGAATCAGATTGATCCGGAATTTGACAGGCGTAGATAATAACATCAAAGCTATAATCGTATCCAAAAGACTTAGGTGGTTTTTTTATTTTTAATAATTCGAAAATTGACCCCGGCTACTCGGACCAAAAATCGGCTCTCTGGCCTATTTTGCACTTGGCCTCGTAACTTTGTTATTTACCACCCAAAATCAGTCATTTTTAACAGGTAGTCTTACAATCACCTCTAGAAGGTCCTCGAATTGGAAAATCGTCAATTTATGGAATTTTGTGATGGCATGCTAAAACGCGCTCCACGTGGGTTACTGTAGAAAACCGAAATTAGCGAGTTTCGTGGTGTTTTTGCCATGGAATCGCTTCGATCTTTTCGTAAAACTAATAGTAGCGGTTTTTGGTACAACTGACCAAAAAATTTACAAGATTCTGTGGCAGAATTACAAAATCAGTTTTTAGTCATTTTCATGAAAGTTTGTGGATAGTACGCTCTCGTATTTGGCAGTAAGGTGCCCCTACTTATTGCCTAACAACCCAGAAAATTTGAGCCGGATCGAATCTAGGGGAGCCGAGAAAAGCGGGAAAAACGAAACCTACAGTACCCCACTGGGGCACGTTTTAGCAAGCAATACAAAAATACCATAGATTGTGGTGGAATTTGCTGTGGAATCCGAGATTAATATTTGGATAGGTCATTGACAAAATATCAGCCATAGGCAGCGAGTTATAAGCGAGTTATGACTCAAAGAACAAAAATAACGCAAAATTGCGAAAATTGTTTTGCTTTTTAAAAATGAAACTGACCTCGATAAATTCTAAGATTTGGGCATTACCTTTCTACAAATTTATACTATTTTTAAGCCAAAAATCAGAATTTTCCCACCTCTCGTTCAAGAACGCACAATTTTCGGTCGTAACCAGCGTCAATAGTACAGTTGCGTACTCAAAAATCGAAAAAATCAAGTTGAGTTATTTCCCTATTCCTGACATATTTAAGCATTCTGGCATGGTAACGCACGGTGAAATATCTTTCCTTCTCGAGATAATTGGGGACAAACTACGGCACTTTTTTTTGCCCCACCCTGTACTCAAACCTGTGCAAACGTCGGTTCATCGTAAGGGTGTTGTAGTGTGTAGTCCTCGGCTTGTGTGATCTGGAAAAAAGCTAATTTCTTGATTTCTACCTAAAAATACCTTAATTTTGGCGCTGCGCTTTGCGCGCGCCATCCCGAACGCTCCTTCCCATTGCAAGGGCGAGGAGGGCTTCGGTTCTAAAAAAGTACAGAATTCCCGAGTCATGAAGGGGAAAATTGGCGTTTTTATAGAATTTTTGGAGGTCTTTTAGAGTTTTCGACCGCTAGGCTCAATTTAAATCGATAGGCGCGTGGAATATAACTTCCTAGTCCCTTTAATAATTTTTGTTCCCTTGCCAAAAATTCAAAGCAAGTTGAAATTAATCCCGAGCCTTCCTAGTCCCTTTAATGCAGTGCCATCGAGCATCTCGCGTGAACCGGATCGAATTTCAGGGCGGCGGATTGTCGCCCAGGGCTTTTTCCCGGTCAACTGGGCGTTCCTGTCGCAACCTCTCTTTGGCAAAGAAGAAGAGGAGTGAGCGGAAGTGATGGATCGTGTGGATTATGGGCTTTGAAATGCGCCGCGCTTTTTGCTCACGAGGGTGCGCGCGGCTAAAGATTGTAATCGTACAGAACGGCCAGAGGGGGAGGGAGTGGAACTTTATTCTTTGGTTTGTGGGTGCATTTAAAGGAACTGGCATCGAAGGACTGACAGTTTTTATGCCGTATTTTCACTATAGATTTTCCGCAACTTCTGGATCCATTACGCAATGGAATGGCCACCACGTGCGTTGCGTGCTGCGCCCGCAGAAAAATCTACGGGGTCCATAAAAGACCCTCGAAATTTTGTCTTGCCATTGGCTTTAAAGTTCTCTGGGCGACTAAAGTAGCCGTTGTAACTAGTTTCTGTGCTTCTCCCTAAATCCTGCCCCAGCTACCGTACCCCACCACCTATTAAAACCCACCGTAGGCGGCCAGACGGCGCTGGAACGGGATGACGCGCCGGCGGAGAGGGCGACCCGGTTTTGTGGATGGATCTGAAATTCATAATGGATGAGAGAGAGAGAGAGAGAGAGAGGGGAGCGAGAGAGGGAGAGAGACAGAGAGAGAGAGAGACGATTTGTGAATCGATGCAGGGCTTATCACATCCATCATCGTGCACTGGTCGGTCGCAATTTATTGCCACTACGCCGCTGTACCAATGACGGTTTAGAATGGGAAGAAAAAGTGACTTTAAAGGAGCATTCAAACTGAATTCCATGGGGAATTCAAGGGAATTACAAAAAGCATCTGGTTCTGTCTCTCTCTCACTCGCTCTTTCTCTCTTGCTCTCTTTCTTTCTCTCTCTCTCTCTCTCTCTCTCTCTCTCTAGTTCTCTCGCTCGCTGTGGCTCTCTTTCCCCCTCTCTTTCAACTAACCTCTCCTCTGCTTCACAGCCGCCTTCAATAATCGACTGACACATTTTGCGTGTTGCGTGGCTAAAAAGGAACAAAATTCCACTTTTTCCTATCGACATACTGTCCTGAGCGGTCTTCGAGCAGTTCTGATGGAACTCCTGCTCCTCTTTGCTGACACGGGCGATGCTGAACCGCTGAGGTTTAGATCGTACTCCTCAAAAACTAACTGTTTCTGAGCAACAGCCGAGAAGAGCCCCGACATTGCCTGGGAGAGCCATCGATCGAAAAGTTCTTGGGTTCCTGAAAATGGACGTTTTTCAATTTTGAGTACTGTAGGTAGGCTAGCAAAGAGCCTTTGGGAAGGAAAAATTCCGGCATTGGGATGGCAAACTAGCAAAGGCCTTTGAGGAAATAGGCACCACACTTCTCTCTCTCTGTATGTCTTCCTCTCTCTCACTCGTTCTCTCGCTCTTCTCTCTCTCTATCTCTCTCTCTCTCTCTCTCTCTCTCTCTCTCTCTCTCGCTCTCGCTCTCTATGTCTTCCTCTCTCTCGCTCTCTCTCGCTCTCTCTCTCTCGCTCACTCGCTCTCACTCACTCGCTCGCTCTCTCCTCGCTCTCTCTCTCTCTCTCTCTTTCTCTCTCTCTCTCTCCCTCTCTCTCTGTCCCGTCCCTTTAATCCCAGCTAAATCCGCAATTCCCTCCTTCCACAACCCAGCTTTCCGCCCAGCTACTTTTTGCTCATTGCTCCTCCGGCACCTGATAATTTATGGATTTGCCGATGGGGATCAAATAGGCGCAATATCGCATGGGGGTGTGTTGATGAGAGCCAGTTCCCCCCCATAGATTCCGTCTCTTTCCGGCTGCTTACGGCCGGCAGAGCGCCCCCAAAAAAGGGGCTATCAAATGATCGAGTCTGGCGCATGCGCAGCGTGTCGAAATTGGTCAACGGAACACTAGCCACATAGATGAGCACGTTTCAGCAAAGGTTGGTTGGGGGTGCAAATAAGAGTTTTCCGGCACCACGGGGGACGGTAGCTCGAAATTTTGCGGCACTTAAACGGCTATTTTAATTTTTGATGTTTGATGGACTATTTCTAGAGGCGCTTTCGATAGTCGTTCTCGCGTGTTTTGGAGGACTACGGTAGTTTGGTACGGATTTTCCAATGTACACTCTGTGTTAACTTCGGACCATGGATTTTCCAGCCTCCCAGAAATTTCCTAAACGCCGCCACAAAACCGAATCTCGTTAAATCTCCCTCGTAAGATGACGTTTTTCACTTCCATCGCACCTGGCGGGCACAAAATAGAAAACGCGCCGCGCGCTAATCTATGCGCTGAGGGCTTTTTCGGGCACTTTTTAACACGCGCGCCCCGTTTTGCATCGCCGGGGGGGGGGGGCAAATTGAAAGGGGATTAGCGGCCATTAAGGATTGGGCGAGAGAGAGAGAGAGAGAGAGAGAGAGCACGAGATAGGCGCCTAATCACAGGCCAGTGTGCCTGTGGCACGCGGGCGCGCCAAGATCCGCGCTTTTTAATGCGGGCAAAAAAAGTGGATGTGGGTTTTGTGCCTCAAGAATATCAACAAGCGCGGTTTTAAAGGAATTGTGAAGGCTGGAATTCGGTAAAAACCCCAATCAAAATAATGCACTAATGAAAGGCTTGAAAATCGGCCCTTGGCACATCTTCGAGGTCTAAAAGTTGGTTTTCAAGGGGCTGAACAGTTGGAAGAACTGGCAACAAGTTAGGCAATATAATCCTCGAAAACGCACAAGCCTGAGCCTAAGCTAAGTTAAGCTAAGCTAAGCTAAGCTAAGCTTACGGTTAAGCCAAAGCTAAGTCCAAGCTTAACCTAGCCCGAACCTCCACAAGCTGAAAATTGACCCACCCGTCTCGCCGAGCTGGATTACGGTGGCGGCGCCCTGCTTGTAGGTGCTGGAGGCCTGGGGGAGATCTTGGGTAGGGGCGACGTAGCCTGAGGTTAGGTTGTTTGTAGTCCTCGGAATCGTGGAAACATACCGTAGCCCACTTGGAGGCACAGCAAAAAGATTAGTGTGGTTGTTTTTCGTCGCATTTACTGAAAAATTGGATTATTAGAGAGAGAGAGAGAGAGAGAGAGAGAGAGAGAGCGATGGTGAAAGAGAGCACGAGGTAGCGAGAGCAGAGGGCGAGAGCGCGGGATAAAGGAGAGAGAAAGTGAGAGAGTGAGAGAGAGAGAGAGCGAGAGAGAATGAGAGAAAGAGAGAGAGTGAGTGAGAGAGTGAGAGAAAATTGTGAGCGACGAAAAATAGCGCGACAAAAACATCGTAAGAGATATTAAAATTAAAACGCAGGGGTATTTTAAGGGCCGCTTGAAGCCAAAAATTATCAGCACGCCTTAAAAACCAGACCAATATCGGGTAGATTCCAGCAGTTCACCGAAGCTTTTGCCACTGAAACATGCTACAAGGGTGAACCCGGATGGAGGGGGCAAAAGCTCTTTGAATCCTGACTGCCGGCTACCGGGATTCTCAATAGAAGGGGCGGGCGCTCAAAACGGAATCGTCGGCGCGCGACAAATCCACAGCAGCGGACCGCAAATGCCGAAATGCTCTGTGGCGGTCGAGTCGCCTCGGGCATCCCCCCCCCCCCGCACTCACCTCAAACACACCCACATATCCAAATAGTCACTCAATCTTTCTCTCTCTCTCTCTCTCTCTCTCTCTCACTCTCGCTCTGCGTCTTACTCACTCTCTCACTCACTCCAGCAATGAGATAAAGAAGTCTAAGGAATCATTCGAAATGATGCATCGGTCTTTGTTCGACGTCAGGGGCGGAGCCGAAGACACAGTGTTCCAGGAGCCTGCTTGTTCCATGGGTTTATGCTTACTGTAATGCATCCAATTTAAACGTGATTTTGTTGCGAAAAAAAAAGTTCTCGGGGCGCAAGTGACATTTTCTGGGCAGCGATTACATATCGTAATGCCCTGTAAGGCACCCAATCTCTGGATCTCGGTGATTCTATGGTCAATTTTCACAATTAAAAAGCCTGGAGTGATCAAAAATCCTATAAGGATAACAGAAACGCTTCAGAATTTTGAAATTCAAGCGTTGTCCCGTCCAGCCAGGAAGCAGCAGCCACGCCGTCGCATTTTCTTCTTTTCTGAGGCTCTATCGTATGACGCCGCAAAAACCCAAAAAGTAGCCAAAATATTGAAGTTTTAGGTCCGTGAGGTAGTAATAAACCCTAACCGTCCATAAAAAACCATAAAAATTGGCTACAGAGCACCTTGAGTGCCAAAGATTTTCGGATTGTCGCTGGAAATCCAGGAATCCAAGAAACCAGGATTTCAGTTCCCCCCTCCACCGATCGCAAACCATTTTTTGCACACGTTTTTGTGGAGATCAAGAAGCGGCTTGGGCGCCTCGAGACGCGCGGCGGTTACGGTGTGATTTATGGACTTGACGCGACGCTGAATACCCCCAATCTCTTGGTCCATCTATCTGCCAATCTGATGGCTTTTCAAGCGCACCAATGTTGATGGATTTATTGCCAAAATTTCGGGGAGCTGCTGCGGGGGAGGTTGTAGCTGATCGGTCAGAACTGTGAGCACGTAATTTGGGGAAAATCTCAATAACGACAATTAAAGAATCGCGTAAAGGAGCAAAGCGTCTTTGGAATCTACCGTAACGCTTTTACAAGGACGGCCAATGTTTGCAGGATACTGAATTGAACCCAAAAATGCTAGAAATGACAATTATAAAGTGGTTCACAGCAGCGCCGCGTAGTTGGAGCCTACTGTATTTTTAAAGGGACTGGAAAGGCCAAATCATTTCTGGCTTTTTCGCAAAACGCAAAAATTATTGCGGAACAGACTACCTTACGAAACTGTTACTATTCGCTTTTTGGCTACAGTACCCCTACCGTACTTCGACAGCTTGAAACTCTAGATTTTCTTGGATCACCGGGAATTTATGTAGTCTTTCAGATTCAACGAGTAGCGGTACTGTAGCCAAAACGAACGAGATTTTTTGAGGAATTAATGACAGTTTTTGTACTACCGTAATTCCTCCAGGACGCAGAAGTCCTGAAAACGCCAAATCCGGAATTCTGTCAAGACTTTGCAGCTACCGTACCCTCCTCTTTTTGCTAGATTCTATGCACTGCACCTCGATTTATCGAGTTCACCGAAGCATGTGGAAATTAGCGCGAAAAAAGGCAAAATCACAACCGTCGGCCGGGGCGCCGGTCAGCTCCAAATTAAGCGGATCTGGCTTGTTGGAGGGGAGAGCGAGGTGGAGGAGGAGGAGGAGGATAGTGATAGCCCCCCTAAAACAAGCTGCAATCAGCGAAAAAATCAACGGTCAGCAATTTAGGGAATGTAGGTTGATGCTCGAAGGGAGCATTTAGAAATCGAATCCAGAAGGGCAAGCTAGCAGACACTCTTTGAGGAATTTGAGAGGGCGATTTAGCAAATATCCTTGGTGAATCGCGTCCAGAAAACAAGTGACTGAATTTGTTTTGAAAGCAGCCACGCAGAATTGTTTTGTAGAAAATCAAGGAAGGTGCAAACTAGCGGAGGTTTTTGAGGAATTTGGGGAAATAGGCTAGCCGAGGTTCACCAAAGAAATCGCTAACAGGCAGGCTAGCAGAGGCCCTGGGGGAAACCGCGCCGGCATCTTAGCAGAGATCTTTGAGGAATCAAAGTCGCAACCTAGCAGGCTAGCAGGGATTTTTGAGGAAACGGGGATTGCGTTTTTTATGGGGTGGTTAGGTACCACGATTGCAAACTAGGCTAAGGGAGTTGACTTGGCAGAGCTTTCTGCTAGATTCCCGTGTAAGTTGGAGCCTGGCGTAGCCTAGCCAAAACTCCTGCTGGATGGGTTACTGTAGAAAATCTGTAGACAATTTTTCATGGCGTAATTGTCGTCACAAGACCCGGGTTACGGTAGGCGGGGGCATGATAAAGGATGTGATCGGAATTCTAAAAGTCTCAGTTCAACGACTAGGTCTTATAAGTGCCCCGCTTTACGCACGCCTCAATGGTTTAAGATCAAGCTGGGTGGGAAAAAGAAGGCTTTCTCTCTGTTTCTTTCTCTCACTCACTCTCTTGCTCACTCTCCATGTCTCATGCTCATTCTCCCGCCTTATCTAGCTTTCACTCCTTATCTCTCTCACTCTCTCGATCTCTCTCGCCATCTCACGCATTCTCTTTATTCCGATTCACTCTTGATCTCTCTAATTTTCTCGGTCTACCTCTTGCGGTATAATTATCTCTCTCTCTCTCTCTCTCTCTCTCTCTCTCTCTCTTTCTCTCTTTCTCTCTCTCTTTATCTCTCTCCCTACCTCTCCTCTCATCTGATATGTTGCAGAATTCGTAAGGCATTAGCCGCTCTAGCCGAGATGAGCCCGAGGGCTGGGGTGGGCTAGGCGGGCTGGCCCGATTCCGTCGCTGAACTGCTGACACTTCCAGTCCACAGGTCGCCGTGGAATTGAGCAAGAGCTTCATGAGGCTGAGGGGGCTATGGGCGACGTGTGCCTTTAAGGCATTCGTGCCTCCCCCAATATTCCGTGGGAAACCACAGAAGGGCACGAAAAAGTGCGAGGGACGATCCCCCTCTTTTCAAGCCTTTATCAAGCGGCTTTCCATTTCGGCTGAGTCGCCCCCCCCGGCTTCAGCACCGCCCGCCCAGGTGTTTGAGGAATGAGCTGAGCCTGAACTTTTTGCTCTTCGTCCTCTAGGAGCAAACGGGGATGTTTCTTGCGGTTTTAAAGGACCAGGATCATGAGCCGAAGCTAAGCCAAAGCTAAGCCAAAGCTAAGCCTAAGCTAAGCCAAAGCTAAGCCTAAGCTAAGCCAAAGCTAAGCCATAGCTAAGCCTAAGCTAAGCCTAAGCTAAGCCTAAGCCAAGCCTAAGCCATTTTCCCAAAGAATCCATGCTATCTTGCTGGAGAATTTTCCCAATTGGTGTAGTTTGTAGCTAGTAAAACAATTTATTAAATCCCTATGCATTTGATTTTCGGTCGACCGTCAGATCCGAGATGAGCTGTCGATTTCTGGGGTCGGCGGCGTGGATTCTGAAAAGGCAAATGGTGAGGGAGAGAGAGAGAGAGAGAGAGAGAGAGAGAGAGAGAGAAAAGAGCAATGCTTACGATTACGGTAACCCACCCATAATATAGCAACGCAGCAAGGGCTGATGAAGCCATTGCGGCCAGCATCACTAGATAGAAGAAGGCCAGCGGAGTCGGCTCGCTCAGGAAAATGGAGCGCATCGCCCCGGAGGCCAACGTCACCGAGCAGGGCCCAAAATACCCGAGCAGGGGGTAGCCACAGCCGGCCGTTGCTACCTAAAAGATTTAACTTTTCGTCGGCAAGCTAGCAGAGATCCTTTGCCTCATCGAATACTCTGTAGGCAGGCTAGCGAGATTTCTTTGGGAAAAAATGGAAAAGACAGAGTTTCGTTGCGGTAAGAGTCTAGCAAAGATTTTGGCGAAAGTTCCGTAAGGGCAAGCTAGCAAAGACCTCTCACTCACCCTCGCCACTCCTGTCATAATCGGTGCACCGTATTTCCCAGTCCTCGCTTCAAGGCTCACGATGAGTTGCACCAGGATTGGGATGCAATTTAGAATAGCTTCCAGACAAAGCACCTAAAACATATTTTTTAATATTTATAATCATTTAATGCTAGTGTACCTTAAATCGATTCATCTCGAAATTCTGCTCCTCGTCGGCAAGAATATTTGGTACATAGGTGTCTTCGTAGCGTTGGGCATCGAGTAGCCAGCGGGCGATTACGGTACCTGAGGCACCGGATAGACAAAGAGAGATAGAGAGAGAGAGAGCGAGAGAGAGAGAGAGAGAGAGAGAGAGAGAGAGAGAGAGCGATAGACAGCGAGTATGAGGAAAGCGAGAAAGAGCAAGGGAGCGAGTGAGAGAGACGGGATGAGAGAGACAAAGTGACACAGAGAGAGAGAGAGAGAGAGAGAGAGAGAGAGAGAGAGAGAGAGAGAGAGAGAGATAGACAGCGAGTATGAGGAACGCGAGAAAGAGCAAGGGAGCGAGTGACAGAGACGGGATGAGAGAGAGACAAAGTGACACAGAGAGAGAGACAGAGAGAGAAAGAAAGAGAGAGAGAGAGAGAAAGAGAGAGAGAGAGAGAGAGAGAGAGAGAGAGAGAGAGAGCGAAACAGATTGAACCTACCCAAAAACGCCCCAAAAAATTGGCATATAATATTGCAGATGACGAGGGCGGGCCCGATTTTCCGCAAAAATGCACTAGCCAGCGTCACGGCTAAATGTCGTTTTTTTTAGCAATTCTACAAGACGAATTTCTTCTTTTTTTGCTGTCACGCTCCCTTTAAAACCCACCTGGATTCAAATGAGCCGCCGCTCCGAACCTCGAAACGCACATTAATGAGACTGCCAGCGATAGCCCGTCAAGTAACGCAAATGCGGCGAATATTTTGCTGGAGGAGAGGAGGACTGGAAATTGGAGCCTGAGGCTATGGATTTGCCTTCAATGGTCCTTTAAAAGTTCTAAACGTTACCTAAAAAAGCATAAATTGCAGAGCCGGCCAGCTCGAGGGTGGCCGGGAATCCATGAGTTCGCCAGACATCTGGGGCTGGTGCTGCCAGCATTTTTTGCGTTTTTGATGTATCCCGTGGTTAACCGATTTTTGCTAAAAGTTCGAATTTCACCAACCGTCAGAAGCCTTTGATGTTTTAAAGGTACAACGAGGTGACAAGCTAGCAAGGAGATGGAGGGATGGCCAAGAGAAAGAGAGAGGCTAGCAGAGATCGCTTGCAGAAATTGAGAAGCAGCGGGGAGGCTAGCAGGGATCCTTTGGGAATTCAAAGGAAAGGGCTGGCTACCAGTGATTCTTGAGAGAGAGAGAGAGCGAGAGAGTGAGAGCGAGGGAAAAAGAGAGAGGGAGAGAGGGTGAGAAAGAGAGAGAGTGCGAAAGAGAGTGGGAGAGCTAGCGAGAGAGAGCCAGAGAGAGTGAGAGGGGAAGCGAGAGAGAGCGAGAGGCGAGCGAGATAGTGAGAGTGAGAAAGTGGTAAATAAACAGGACAATCAGGTGTAAGAGCCGTGTGTATTCCCGGATTAGTAAAGCCACCATTATCCTCTGTGTCCCCCCCCCCCCCGGCTAGGGTATCCAGGGTGCCACCCGTGGAATTTCCGATTGGTTGCTCTGGATACCAATGCGCGCGCCCGACCCCGCCTGGGTAGAGGGGTCAGTAGCCCTTTCTACGCCCACACTATCTATACGCTGGTTACCAGTCTTGAAAACATTTTATTCATCACCAAACCCCGTGAAACTGATCAAAATAGTCAGCCTGCGTAGCCCCAAGGTACATCTTCACCCCGAAACGGTTCGTCACGAAAATGCTGGTGCTGAACGAGCCGGCGCTGGGGCTGGAGATGCAGGAGAGTTCACGCGTTCGACGATGCAGACGGGTTTTTCTGAAAAGAGGAGATAGAGGAGACGCTTGAGGAAACGAGAAGGCAAGCTAGCAGAGACTCTTTGGGAAAGCCTGGGGCGTGCTGGCAAAGATTCTTTAACATTTCAAAAACTCACACTTCACCCAATTCCTTCGCCAGAGCGAATCGTATTGAGGAGAAGCCAAGCGGAAAGGCCAGAATCGTCATACCGTAACTAAAACAGAGATGCCAGTTTTTTTACCGTTATCCTGATGCTGAAAAATATACAAAAATTTTACTTACACCGCAATCATAAAATCGGCCAACTCGTAGAAAGCGTAGGACCACACTGAGCCGGACTCGCAAAATGATTCGGCCGCCAGGAAGCACAGCGCGATGAACCCGTTGAAAACGAGACACGTGGAGCCAAATACGAAGATTAACTGAGATACGGTAATATCAAGAAAAATTAATGACATACCCTTAGCGCCTCAATATTCTCAGCAATTTGGTACCGCTTTGAGAGGGAATATCCGGTAGCGTCGAGTTTCTTCATCGCTTTCCGGATACGGCGATTTGTTTGGTAGATGTAGCGGAGGTACTAAAACGGAACTTTTAAGGCTAGCTAGCTGAGATGCTTTGGGAATTCAAGGGCAGGCTAGCAGGGATTCTTGAGGAAATCGCCAGCGGAGGGAATGGACGAAAAGCGCAAGTGGGTAAGCTAGCAGGGATTCGTTGCGGAATTTCAGAAATAGGGGCGCTAGCAGAGATTATTGCGGAGGAGCGCGCCAGCTAGCATAGATTGTTTGAGGAATTAGGAGTAGTGGCAGGCTAGCACAGATTCTTGAGGAAATCGAGTCGCAGCAGCCTAGCAGCGATGCTTCAGGGGTTGAAAACGAGGGCAGGCTAGCACAGATTACTGAGGAAATCAGAAACAAGGCAGCCCCCTTGGAAAAGCAGCCTATAAACCGAAAAAACACTTACCACAAAAATGCCCGATGTCGCCACAAGGGCTAACAGGATACCGTGGAAAAAAGTGAGCCATTCTGGATAGACTAAAATTAAGGATACGGTATTGTACCCACCAAACAGCAACAATAAACTAGCAATAAAAGATCCGGATAACGCCAAGCCGACCGACAGTCCGGCTATCCAGTATCGATCTTTCACGTCGTAGTCGGCCACGTAATACGTAGCAAACGTCCGCTCCAGGCACAGGCTGGCCATGGAGGCTGGAAATTGAAATAAAAAACCTAAAACTCACACGGGCAAGCTAGCAGAAGACTTTTGAGGGAATTTGCTACAATACCGAGAAAAATCCACTTTGATATCTCAAAAACGTGAAAAATTCGTGTTCGGACGAAGTTTTTCCATTTTTTCAAGACGAGTACATTTTTCTAGCAAAATTTAAAGCACTTAAATCGTATTCCTGGATAAAAAGCATCTTTTAAATAACTTTAGAAGCATCTACGACCAGAGGAAAAAAATTTAAAGGCAAAAAGGAAGGGGCCGGTCTTGAAAAGAGGTTTTCCGGTCCTAAAAGCCTTTTCCCAGCTCCTAAAAGATTGTTATATACACCCAAAAATGCCCCTTTTTACGAGCTATAAACCATATCCATAATCTTGTCTAAAGAACGTGGAAAAATGATAAAAATAAAAAAAAACAGATCTCACCGAGAACCAACACCATGTAAAACACGCGGATAAATCCCGCGATAATGGCGCCTGCATTGCAACGTAATAAATCTAAAATTAGGAGACCTGAAAAGGATACTGATATTTTACCCAAATCTCCAGGCCCAATCCTGCCCGTTGTGTAGAAAATTAAAAACACTCTCGAAACGATCGATATCTCGTACAATCCAAATGCTACCACGTAGATGATGCCGAGGTTCGGGTGGAAGAACTGAAACAATACTACGCTTTTTTTAAAACGGGGTTGTGAAAGCTTACTGGCATAAATGGACTTTTGGCAGCTTGCCAAGACCCTAAAAACCTTTAAAAATTTGCTAAAAAGTCATTTAGTTTAGGACAGTTTTTTGTGCTGATTCCGAATCTGTACTCAAAATTCCGAGAGGAGCTAGGGTTCTCGAGATATGGTCCATTTAACCAGAAGTGCTGGAAAATCCATAGCATGACCTATCTGTCCTTTTAAACTCTTAAAGCCGACTCACCTTTATCAACACAAAAGCCCCGCATGATATCGGTATCAACACAAAGCTCAACACCAATAAGAGCAGCTCCACCTGGTAGATGGTTTCGAAATACGGGGCCCAGCCGGCCAGCTCCAAGGCGGTGGTGTTGATGTAGATGTGGAGGTATAAGGTACCACCAGGACAAGTCATGAATGCGAGTTTAAAGGACCGTTGAAGACAAAGGAATATGGATTGCTAGCGTCAAGGTGTCCAGCAAAAAACCATGATGAATTATGACACTAATTGTGCAACGCGTGGTTTGGGTATCTCAAATGGCCTCGTCGATATGGGGCGAGTAAAAACTTTTTCCACCTGCCGGGCCGGTCCGGACCGCTGAAATAAGCAGGGGTGAAATGGAATAAATTAATTAGCAGCGACGTAGCGAATGTAGCGATCAGAACTCATACAGCTGATTTTCTGGAAAAATTGAAAGGCTCAGGTTCGTGCTCAAAAAGTTTCTCTCTGGCCCTCTTTTCCTTACGCGCTTTCTCTCGCTTTTCCGCGCTCTCTCGCGCTATCTGTCTGTCTGTCTATCTCTGTTTCTCTGTCTCTCCATGTCTCTGGCTCCATCTCTCTGTCTCTCTCACTCTATCTATTTGTCACCCTTTATATCTGTGTTTGTCTCTCTCTCGCTCTCTCTGTCTGTCTCTCTCTGTCTCTCTCTCTTCCAACAAATCCGAACACTAAAGCCATTTATTTCGACGAGCGGCTATCAGGTTGCTTATGGGGGTTGGGTTAGTAGAGGTGTGTGCCCGGGTGCCGGTCTCGTCAGGCCGTCGTCATCTACTTCGGAGGAGGGGGCGGTGGGCTGGGTCCGACCTAAACCGTGGGCAAATTACAGTAGCAAAAACCCGGCGTTACCTGGATGTCTTCGTAGTTCCCGTCACCTCCGCCGCCTCCGCCACCATCACCGCCGCTGGCCGCCGGCTGGAAAGGATTTTTGTTCAAAAAGTTATAATCTTTTGTTAAAAAAGTTCTGACGTCATTTCTTTACTATGTTTAAACGTAAAATTTCCAAAATGTTCGGAAAAAAGGTTGTTCGCCTAAAAATTACCATTTTCGACCAGATTTCAACGTTTGCAAAAATTTTTGATTAAAAACTATCGAATACTTGCTATTACATTGCTATACATCCCTGATTGATAGGAAAGGAAAAATTCCGGTTTTCCTACAAATTTCTCGCTGAGTTTTCTTTCGAAACTTTCGAAAACTTATACCGCGGGAGCAGGAGCCGGAGCGGGAGCTGGAGCTGGAGCCGGGGAAGGATTCGATTTTGCTTGAGCTAAAATAAGCGCACTTTTCCAATGCTTTGAAAATTTTTGTAAACCATTTTCGGCATTAAAAACTTAATAAAACGCGTACATGCGCCACCGCTGGTGCTGCCTGAGCCATCAGGGCCCTTCTTCTTGCCGCCACATCCGATGGCCAGCGCCACGGCGCACAGGGACGTCACGAACGATAGAAGCTCTAACTAAAAAAGAACTTTCCGTATTGGATTTTCATAAATTTTTAGTTTTAAAAAATCCCAACAAACTAACCATATTGAGCGAAGAGAGGAATACCACCTCGATCTGGTAGAGCAGTAAAAATAATGGCTTTCGAGGCCTTGGAGACTTTTATACGAGCGAAAACTTATTAAAATTTCCGGGAAATACGAGAAGTTCATGCAAATTTCTAGTCGCTTGTTGCATTTTCCCAAATTTTGTAGAGCGACGTAATAGCAAGTATTTTCATATTTCTGTTCAAATTTTCTTCCTTTTAGAAATTTAATGAGCCTCAAATTTTGGTTGAAAATATCTATTTTGAGCAAGCCTTGTTTACAATTGCAATTTGTACCGTTTGGGGTTAGTAAAAACGGTGTGGGAACGCTTTTTTCCCTTTTTTTCAATATTTTTTGGATGTAAATACCTTTTTTTCACTACCACACTTCCGTATCTCTGACGCATTGACAGTCGTTTACGCTTAGCTTTGAGCACCTTTAGCTTAAGCTAAAGGTGCCAATTGGCTGGCTTCACTTGGCTTCGCTTTAGCTTGATTTTGAGCTTTTTTACTTTTCTTTTGCTTTTGCTGATTCATCGCATGGCGGACCTGTTGGGACAGGCATGGGGTTTCGCCTATCCAAAACCTCCGCTTTGGCCGCCCTCCCTCTTTTCTATGTTTTGGAAAACATTGCGTATTCGGTTGCTAGCCACTCGTTCAAAGCCATTTCGCTTCATTTCCGGAAAGACCTTCATTTTGAAAACTCCAAAAAGCGTGTCTCATCATCCTTTTCCTGAAATTAGCTAAATCTTTAAAAGCCTTCAAATATATCCTCAAATCCGCTTTGTAATTTCTTACCACTTTCTAAATCGTAATTTCTGATAACTTATTCCTTAAAATAACGTTTCAGATGGCACCACGCAAGCCAGCGACTCGAAAGCGCAAACCGGACAATGTTCATGTCGTTCTCGTCGACATTGGCGCGAATATGGAGGTAAAAATCCTGGTTTCACCCAGTTTTATCGTTTTTCCAGGGCCAACCATTTCAAGACGCCATCCAAACCGTCGAATGGCTGCTAACACGAAAGATCATGCGTTCAAAGGACGATGCCGAGAAGGTAACCCATTAATTTTGTCCCCCAAACGCAATTTAGGCGACTTCCGGCGGCCAGGATCTGTTTGGTGTCATCGCTTTTGGCAGTGACGAGACGGATAACCATTTGAAGACCCCGAGAGTGATTTGTCGACAGGTAAGCTTGTTGTCTTTAGCCCCAAATTATTTTTAGGAGGTGCTTACGCCCGCCTCGTTTGATCAGCTTCGTTTCCTGTCGGAGCTGTCGCCTGGAAAGAAGCCTGGAGACTGTAGGAAATTTGTTAATTTCCAAAGTAAAATTACTTTAGATTCACAGGCTATGATTCAATCCATCGACTGGTTGAAGCAAAGGCTTGATGAGTGCGAAGAGGTTGCTTCCACCAATCTGATCTTGATCACAAATGCCCTTGGTGAACGCGATAGGTAGGCTTCTTTTGCTTATTTTACTTTCTTATTTTAGCAAGACGCACCGCGCCCGTCTCGAAGTGATTGCCAACTCCCTAGCTGCCCTCAACACGGAATTGCACGTTATGTGAGTCATAAAATTGGCTTACTTTGACGACAACCTAATTTAGCGGTCTTACCGAACCTTACGAAAGCTACACTGACAAGGAATTGGCCGAGTTCGTGGAGGAGCATGATGGAAGTCTATACAGTTATTCGTGAGTTTTAAATCTTCTCTTATGCCTTGATTTTTTAGGGAAGTAAGCGCGCTGATCTCAAAGCTCTCTGCGTATCAGCAACTTACAAGGCTCGTCGGCTTTTCGTTGGAAATATCCCCGAAGGTCAAGCTTCCATTCAAGTAACAATTTTTAGCGTTCGTCATTGAGCTTTTAGGTGTATTCCTTATATCTCGAAAGCAAGGAGCTTGAAAGAAGAGAAGATGAGGTCGGTGGATCCGCGTTCGCTTCAGAAGGTACGCACGAGACCTTATTTTGTACTTTTTGTTTAGGTAAATCGGGAAAAGAAGCTGTTCATCGTCGAGGAGAAGGAAGATGATGGAACTGGGAATGGCGGCCCTCATTTGTCGAATGATTACTCCGATTTCAACGGTCGCAACACTGAAATGGCCGGCCCGCGGGATAGATGGGGCGCAGAAATAGAGCCGAAAAAAGAGGAGGTAATTGCAGAGAAAAAAAAATCTTTATTTTTTTATAGCCAATGGACTACGAAGAATCGACGCAACGCCCCTCGACCCAAGTCACCTACACTCAAGTCGCCGATGAGGAACGGGCTTATGGTATCTGCTTTTAGGTTTCTGAAGTATTAATATTTTAGGTTATTTCTTTGGGTCGACGAAAATCGCCATGACGAAAGAGGACCGAGACAAATATAACCTGTCGTTCAACTACAACAAGTCATCCGTCTTCCAGTTGATCTGCACCGTGCCAGAAGATGCGGTATAAAGTTTCTAGTCTGCTTTATTCCTCTTAGATCAAAATTCCGCACCTGGCCGGCGCCGACACGCGCGTTTTCATTCCAGACGAGCGGAAAGCTAAGGGGGTAAGAAATATTTGGATTTTTCAAAAACTTGACATTTTTCTAGCTTGGTCTCGCCGGCGCAGCGACATTCGTGCAGGGACTTATCGAATCCGGAACCGTGGCGATTGCACGTTTTGCTTACAATGCTGGTGGGTTTTACAGCCTCTAGGAAACTACTTATGTTGCGTTTTTTAGCCTCTCAGCCTCAGATGATCGCGCTGAAGCCGAGAATCCATGCTGTCGACGGGACACCCGTAAAGAATTGCAGAAGCGCTAAACCATTTGTATTTAGTTGCTCTGCGCGGTCCGAATCCCATTTGCTGACGACATCCGACACACCACATTTCCGCCACTAGAAAAAGTCGATCAAATCAGTAACAAAATATCTTTGATTTGAAGAAATTACTTTAGAATCCATCAAGAAACTTGATCTGCTGGATGAGCTGATTGATGAATTCATGGGCGATGAGAACAAGTAAATCTGATTTGGTTGTACCAACATCTGTTTTAGCAAAGCGATGGACTCTCGGAGAATGCGGGCCGCTTACCTAAGAAAGCATCAGCTGATTTTTGATGTACGTATCATCTTTAGGAAGGTTAAAACATCGTATTTTAGAAACTCAACCTTCGTACCTCGGTTGTCAAGGCCGAAACCGAAGAACTGACGGAAAAGCAAAAAGAAATCGTTGAGAAAGTAAAGGCCGCGTTCCCGATTGTCGACTACAAAGCAGAACGGGCAATGGAAAGGGAACGCGAGCGAGTGAGTTTACCTTGGATTTAAAAAAATATATGCTTTAGAAGCGAATCGATGAGGTCGACGTCGACGCTTTATTGGAAGGGCATCAGGATGAAGCCGAAGACGATGAGGATATGAAGCCAGCCAAGGCCGAGCTCGATGCGAAGATTGAAAAAGCTGCCGGTGATGAAAAGAAAGGTAACTATTTCACCCGCGTCGAGACGAATTTTTGCCATTCTAGGCATGACAATGTTCCTGAAAGACCAATTTGCGCACATCATCGTCAACGCGGGTGAAGAAGACGTAGATCTCGACAAATTAAAGGTAGTTATCCGCACACCCGCTTTATCGGATCTCTTTAGTTTGCTCGTTCTTGGTGCATTCGAACCAACGAGCCGAAGCTGTTCAACGATCTGATGGGCCGATTAACGAATCTGGATGATGTACGCGAATGGGTGATCTCTTTGGGTGAGATCCATGCTTTGAAGTTAATTTTTTGATTTTAGGCCCAAACCCGGTGCTTCGGCCAATCACCAACAAAGAAGCCGCGGCGAGTGAAATCGATGAGGCACGGGCCCGCGATTGGTGGAAAGCGGATGATGACGAGGATGAATGAAACTTGCCGGTTTTTGCGCTTGTGTTACCTATCTACCTCTTTTGTGTGTTTTGTATTCTCATTCCCTCACTTTTCTCATTCTCATTCATTGACGTTCGAATTTTGCGGTGAATCTCCCGCCCGATCTTCTAATCGATCTTTGTGCAAAAACGTATCTATTTATGCACCCTTGTATTTGTCATTTTTCACTAAATAAAGCATACGAGCCATCTGAGTTCCACAAAAATCGGTTGCCAAGGCGTTTCATTTCGGGAAGTCGGTTTTGGCGAAGGAAAAAAAATCGATCCTATTGTATTGCAATGAGGCTGCTATTGATTCACCTTACAAAATCCAAGGAAAAATCGGGCTTTTTCAAATTTTTGAGCTCTAGTGATGCGCCTGTTTCTATTTGCTGTTCTTGTCTGGATGGTGGGTTAGATCTAGTTTGAAATTGAGGTGCCAGCCTTAAAAATGTTATATTTTATCTATTAAAGCTCGCCATTGCCGACGCCAAGCTCTTCCGGACCGAGACATCGTGCGAACTGCACGAAGACTGTGGCCCGAGCGCCGCCTGTTACAAGGACAAAAAGACGGGCAAGAAGATGTGCTTTAGAAATGGCTAGGAAAAGGTTGCTAATATAAATATAACTAAAAGAAGCTTCATAAAACAACGTTTTAGACGCAAAAAGATTTTACGTTTTGTAACGTTTCGAACAATTTTGCAATTAGAAGTTTTTAGAAAGTTTCTTAAACTCTAGTGTAAAAGAATCATATAAATTGTTTGGTAAAGTCAGAAAATGGTTTTATGGTTGTAATCTTCCTCGAAATGAGCCTTGTGATCACAGTGTAGTTCCGCCCGAACTACTAGCAGACGGCGTAGAAGACGTGGTTTTAGAACTAAGAAGTTCTTTTCATAAATTAACAATTTTAGAAAACATTATTTTATCCATAAACTTATGATAGTTTATATTTTTCTAGTGAGCTTCCAATACTTTTTTAGGGTTGGGGCAGTCTTCATCAGTGGGTGGTTCCGCTGTCGAACTGCTCGATGAGCTCAACTATAACCTACCAAATTTCTCCTCAAATAAACACGGTTTTTGTGCGGGTCCCCGCCGCAAAACCCACCACAGCGATGCGGGTAGTGTCCACACCGCCCGAAACTGTTTGTTCGTCGCCCAGGGAGGAAAAAGCGGTCCCTGGGCCCCAGGGCCTCCCCCCCGACCGATGTTGGTCTTTTTTGTGCGTGCATTGTGTGCACTTTCCAAGGGCCCTCAATCGGTGGGCGCTGAAAAGTGCGCGGCGGTCGGTCTATTCAACGCTCACCCGTTCGCCGGGTGTCCCGCGCTCTGTACTTCCGTACTTATCGTCTTTGGTCTCGTCTTGTAGACCTGCGCGGGGCCCGGGGGCGCACGCTTCCCATTCAATCGGAAGTGTCCATTGTAGCATTCCCGAGGTGGAGCGGCGCGGACTAAAGTGCGGTCTTCGCGCCCGAAGACCATGCTTTTCTATCGCCACAACCGCACGTCCGCATCGCATCGCTTGCGGCTAGAGTGCGGCCCCGATCGCAACAAACATGCGGGACCCCGGGCGCGCACGCCGCGGGTACATGTAAGTACAAAGACTGTGCGCTTTTTGCCGCGATGAAAAAGAGATTTCGAGGTTGGCTTTAGACCTCTCGAAGTGTGAGCAATTTTCTAAAAAGCTGAAAAATGCGCTAAATAGATATTACGGTAAAAATGAAAAGCAAAGGATGGATTATTTGGGGTTATTGTCCCGGAGATTCAAATCGGGTTTAAAAATTAGTTTAAAAATCGGCTTTAAAAACATTATTTTAGAGTTACACAGGTATTCTGGAAGATCGGAATTATTTGATGGTTATTGCTTCCAAACCATGTATTTTACAGAGCGGTACTAGACTTTTTAAAGTGTAGAAAACTAAAAAATTCCAAAAGGAAAAGGGAAGTCTCGAAAAATGAGCATTAGGTATTTCGTCAAAGGATTAAGGTATTGTTGTACAGTTCAGGGTTTAGTTTTTGAATTAGGTAGCAGCTTTCGCTATTCAAAAATTTTGATTCTGGGTTAAAAAATCGTATATTACGTATTTTGAATTTGGATCAGCAGGTATCTTCGAAAAATGAGATTTTTCTAGAGTTTCTCACGTTTCGATCGACTTTTGGTACAAATTCAGGTCTGTCGATAACTTCATGCGGGATCGAGTCCCTAATCTACCTTCCAGGCTCGATCCAAACTCTTTTCGCGCTAAACGTTTCCCCGCATGGTCATCCCACGGCCATAAATCGCGCGATTCGCAACAATCAGCGACGATCTGCGAAACCAACCCCGGGGTGCGTGATCGCGTTTTCAAGGTCTTGAGCCAAGACACCGATCTTGGAGTGGTATTTCCAAACGGGTCCCGAGTGGAAATAAAATTCCAGGGTCAACTAGGCCGGAACGTAGGGACAACAGATACCGGAAGACTATATGACAGATTTAGGGAATTGAGACGAGCTCGAGCCGGACCGACCGGCAGCGCCTTCACCCATCACACGCTACAATGGACTGCAAATTGCGATGTGGCGACGAGATTTGGACGGGAGGAGAAGCTTCTTGAGATCCGAATTCCGTTTTTTTCTAAATGACGCCCAGATTAGCTAGGGTAATATTTTTCTGCGTTTTCTGGACTTTCTAAATTTAAGCCCGAGGGCCATTTTGGGCCGAAAAAATCAATGCTTCGACCTCAAACAAATTTTTTTGATTAAAATTTGTATAGTTTTCATGCTTAGCAATAGCTAAAAAAATTTAGAAACGCATCCGCTATTTAGAAAAACATTTAGGCTTGCGCCGTAAAAAAAGTTGGATTCTCCTCTCCAATCCTAAAGAGTCGCGATATAGTTACGATTATTATTAGTCGATTAAAGCGTGAAAAAGAGTGTACCAGGTGTTTTTTTGTCATGATCTACATGTAAAAAGAGCGATCAGCTAACTTTTTCGATCATTTCGAGCGCATCCCACTGCTTTTGACAATGCCACTCCGCGTAATGTTGCGAGATCTGACGCATCAACGCGGCTTTTGACTGCTAAAGTCCTTTAAAATCCGTTTCGCAACATTTACAGCAAACAAGCGATCATTTACGTTTTCCGACGTTCTCCAGCGCCGCGCTACAATCAGCGCCTTTGAAATGGCCGGGCCAATGTTGCGATCTCCACCCAACCACACCCCATTCCCCCCGCAATAAATCCCTTTAAACGCCCCGAAAAACCAGTGAACTTTCCGGAAATCAATGTCTTTTCCAATTTCTCCGGCTCTCCCGCTAGATCGGGCTCCTCCGCATCAGCGTCTTGCTCGGAAATCTCCGAGAGGCTGCGGGGTTAGGTCACAAAAGGGAAATGCAAGACGCATCCCCGGCGGGATTCGCTAAAAAAAAAAATCGATTTCCGCTCGACTTTGAGCGATTTTGGGGGGCCCAAAAATTCGGCCATCCGTTCTGACGACGTGGTAGGTCGCATCTGGTACCGTACCCCAAAATAACTAACGGCTCCTCTGAACGGTGTTCCGTCACTTGGACTGTCGTGTAGTCGGATTAGTCGGGTTTTAGGGTCGAGAAACGTTCCGGAAAATCCGTTTCCGGTGTAAAGGAAGCGGGAAAAATTTGTCAGGCGGAATTACGATATAGGAATCGCATTTTCACATTGATGGTCGTTTTCTTACGGTAAGTAGGTAAAGGATTAGGGCGCCGATCGTCTTTTTAGTAATTTTAGGCTAATTTGTTGAGCTTAAGGTCTATATTTACGTGTTATTATCGATAATTAATCAATTTTCAATGCCTAGGCTATTTTCCCTGTAAAATTCATCATTTTTCGACGAAAACGGCATTTTCCGCGATGCTGCGGTCTATTCAAAACATAGGTTTCAGGCCCGATACGTATATAGATTATTTTTCAACAGTTTCTCAACCCTGCCATCTGCCGGAAGCCATGTAGGTCGCATCTGCAAAATATTTCGTGGCTTAAAAAACCCTAATCCCGCGTATTTTGGTGCTGCGGCTAGCGGGGGAAGTTTGGAGGGAGGCCGCGCGGTTGGATTAGCTAATCGGCGCGGGATTTAAATTGCTTTTTTCGCAAAAATCGAATTCACATGATCCGGTGTTTTTTTGTAAAGTATTACTGCCAAGATGCTAGGTGTATTCTGGGGGCCTCTCGTACTGGAAGTTGGTGAGAATTCGGGTTAAAAAATCCGGAAATTCCTGCGGTTGATTTGTGGCCAAGAGCGTTGGGATGAAGGGTAAATTGGTTGTATTATAGAATTCATATAGCACGTGATAAAAACAAAAAATTTTTGTGGAAAAATGACTTTTTACAATGCTCTAAGGAAATACCAATTCAAATTTTAGGAACTTCAGAGGCTTTTTAGACCTTTTTAAAGGTTTTAAGTGTTTTTTATGCATAAAATATATAAATAGCATTTTATATATGATACTATTTTTTATATAAACCCTAAAAAATGATTTTTAGAGCTGTAGTTTAGAACTTTGTAGCTAGTTTTTGAGGACGGTTTAAGGGTTTTTCACAGCTCCTATCGTCCAGAAATTTTTTAGAATTTTGATCGTTAATTCTAGGTATTTCCAGGTTTTTAACGGCTTTGAAAGCCTTTCTAGACGTTTTATAGACTTTTTTTAGAGCTTTTGGATCTGTCAGAAATGTTCTTCCACTACTACCGTACCTTTCCACTGAATCCGATCGATTTTAGTGTGTTTTGGAGCACAACGTAGTCGCAGTTTCTCAGAACTCCCTTCAGAACCCTCAGATTTAATTGGTTCATTTTATAAATCAAAAATAATTCGGTCCCTCCCCTCCTTTCGCCGGGTGAAAAGTGCTGTGTGTGTGTTGGGGGGAGGGAGGGTTGGTTGAGGCTGGGGAGGCTGTGCTGCTGCGAGATGTGCGGCTCTGCGTGTGGTCGTTTTTGTGCACCATCTCCCTCTCGGTGCTCTCTCCTCGCCTCGCTATTTCCCTGGAATGGC